TAAATTGAGTAGGCAGTGTGAACGACTCATGAACTCTAAGGTTCGAAAACGCTTTGATATTGGGTCCTCCTTGTCAAATCATCTAATTAAGGCGCTGATCGTTGTAATTCACCAACTTTATAGAGTTGGTATTTCAAAACGAATACCAATGAAAAACAGAAGCCTTGACCTAATTGAGATTTCATTCAGATATGCAAGTGTGAGCTTAGTAAGCCACTGGTTTTTCTAAGTACTCGGCAAATGCTAGCCAAGTCTAACGATCAGAGAAATTTATTTATATCAAATGGCAGGCTTTATAGTTATCATTAGCTCTTTAGTTGACTTCAGGCTTCACAGAGGCGAAGGAACATCAAAGCGAAAAAAGTCGAGATTAGGAAGGGGGAATAGAAGAGTGTTTTAAAGATGTCAAAGAGGCAGACACAAAGGTTATATTCGACTACTTCCACATTACGATCAGAAAAATGAATAAACATATACATGTACGGTTTCCTGTCTTGAATATCCCCTCTTTCCAGGTATGCAGGACATTTGTGGTGGGTTTCAATCAAAATAAACCTTGACTAATACTCAGTAATCTTTAAGGCAAGTTCACCTTGTTTAGAAAGGCTCCCGAACTTAAGCTATTGTAATGACATAAAGGAGGAGGATGCATTGTGAGTAAAGCGTTCATTGATATTTTGTCGTCAGCAAACTTGTTTAGTAAACACATACATCTAGCATAATTTGAATGAACAGCAGACTATCTGAGAAGTCTTTGGCATACACAGTTGCATCCTCAGGAATGTTCGGGTGGGAGGTTTAACCGTGTTAAGAATGCGTACTCCATAAGCTCTATGAGTGCCTTGTAGCTTTTGTGTCAGAAAATAAATTTGTCAAGTGTATTTTAATAGTAACTGATAATACTATTTGAATTAAAAATAATTCTTATGGACACTTTTAAAAAGTATTTTTTATTGATTGGAATTTAAATAGTAACTTCTCAATTAATATGCGAAAGTAAGCATTATTTTTGCTTCAAGTGTATTTTTTTCATATGAATTACCAAAGATTTTGATTACATTGAGAAGTAAAGTGGGAAAATTTTATAAATATCCAATTTCTTTGCTCAAAATGGGATAAAACAGTAAATCTCTAATTTTGTGTGTGAAAAACATGGCCTACAACATTGCAATTTTCTGGGGATTGCTACTTCAATAGACCTTGACTTATCCCGGGTAATCTCTATGGTAGGTTCTCCAATAAGATTAATGGATAAATGGCGTGGAGCACGTTTATTTGGGTTGTGTGTCATGGATACGGAGTTTTGTCATTATAATATAATGTTAAACAATACAGGGACTATTGATCTGTGATTGGCTGAGAGAACTGAGCGCACACCGCACTTGTATGAGGGCGCAAGAGATTTCTTCAATCAATCATAACAGCGTTGTGCTTTCTACAAATTACTCTGAAAGGCGAAGCGAAACTCAAAGATACTAGAAACGCATGACTTCATTCGTTATCGATTTCTATCATATCTTGAAATATTTAAGCAATATCTACTTTAACTAAAGCTTAGTCCATAAGGTATTTATGAAAATTGTGCTCTATTTCACCATTTTGTGCATTTGAATTTCAACTTTATTGATACATCCCTATCCTTCAACTTCATCAAGCTTTCTATTTTACAAATAATTTTACACATTTTTTAAGAACAGAAATCAGTCGATCCTTTAAATGGGCATGCACCTTATCAATCATTCAGTTCCCACATAAATTTAGCTGATACACAGTGTATAGATTGCACTAGTGATCAATTGAGGTTACGAGTTGCGTGGCCTCTCAGCCAATTAGCATTTCAGGGGTCACCGTTGGCAAAATCATATTAGGTGATTAGGCTCTGTGACAGTTACCACATCCACTCTATTATACTCATAAGCACCACATTTTTAGCCAACGCATTTCAAGCCATTCGTTCTGTTTGGCTAATTTCGGGAGCCATTCCATACTCGGGGTCTTTGATGTAGGGTTTACAGAGGTTTAGTCAAGGCTCATTCTTGTAACAGTCCTCTATACAGGCCAAATTTTTGAAGCCGCCTATCTTCAAAGAAATATGTTTCCCTAAGTGCCTTGAGGCTACAAATACTGAGTGCCCAAAACATCTTGGTATAAGGCTCTTTTTGTGTAATTTACCAGCACAAATTGAAGTAAACAAAGGTCAACTAAAATATAAAAATGGATTTCAGTTGTACATTTTATGACGGTTGGCATATCGTCTTGGCTACGTAATAGACATGTTTAAACAATGTGAACTTAAAATGTGATATCATTGTTAAAAAGCGCTGAAATCACTTTCTATGAAGTAAATTTCACTATTCCGAAGTAGTAGAATCATCAAAAGCATCTCCAAACCCTCCTCCCACCTCCACGCCTCTGAAAAGTAAAACTAGCAATTGTCGCAACTTTCATTCGAGACATCTGAGAAAATCTCCCAAAAGATTCCTTGTGGATTCAACGTTCAACAATTATGTTGAAGAAGTCTCGGCTAGAGATGACGAATAAGAGTGAAGTAAAACAACAATGCAATATATATTGAATTTCCCCAATCTTTCGAGTTCAACGCAGTTCGTTAATAGATTAGCCTACAATAATTTAGAGACGTAGAATGTTCATATGATCTAAAATTTCCCCTCCCCCAATGTCAATAAGTTTAAAACCAGAATTTTTAATGAATATTTGACTCTTTCATAGATGTTCATTACTAATTACGACTCTAAGCAAGTTCAGTAAATAATTTATCTTACCTTAGGGGACATTTCCTTTCTTACTCAAGTCCTTTAATAATTTACTTTAGTGTAAACTCTAGTGACAAAACTGATTAGACCTCATATTTAATGCTGTTGTCCTTCCAGGTTCCAGCTGGGATATGTGTCAAACCTCTCCCATGTCAGACTATTCCTTGAATGATATCAGAAGAAAGTTTTTTTCTCATTTGTCCATCCTTAGCCTATTTTGAGCATTACATATCGTATTACCATTTGCTCATATAGTAAAGCCAAGACGTTTTCTCACTTTCTCGCTCAAGACACTTTTGGGAATACCTTGCATACAAGAAAACGGATATGAACCAATTTGCTTTTTATTTCTTTGGTTGTCAAAGGTGTAAAATGTGGATTTACCTCGCAATGTAATCCCCTGAACTGAACACAATATGGGGGGGGGAGGGTCATTTTTCTTCACTTTTAATCCTCAAAATGAGATTTTAATTTCGAATCAATAAGTGTAAAGAATCCTTAAACGTCCCTAATTGGTACTTTCCTTCTTGTACATCCGGTGTAGAAGACGTCCATGTGGAAGGAGGACACAACAAGTCTTACTTTCAACTTTTGACCTTTGCTCTCTTGATTCCAACACATTTAGTTCCCTTTGGATTGTTGATTTTTTTCGTGGTTGACTAAACCTTAGTCCAGCTTTGAACCATTACATGGGATAATCTGGGATAAAGTTCATCAGGAGGTGGTATTACAAAACGTTTAGTCTTTATGCTACCAAAACTTCTTTGCAGTAAGTGAAAGTAGACTGGGTTTCACTATTTCGAGTCCATGAACTTCACATCCAATCATATTAAGGAAAACTTCAAGTTCAATTCTCTTTGATGTGCTATGCAATCGGCTCAAATCATTAAGCATTCAACATAAAAGTGGAGTATATAAAGCCGATCGAGAAGCCATTTGCTATTGTTTGAATTCAGTTGCATTCTCTTGTTTTTTTTATAAAAAATTGACACTTAAAGGCAAGGAGCTACGTACTCCCGTGAAAGTTGAATGCATCGCTCCTTATATTTCACTTTTGTTTTCTATTCTGTCAATGATAAATACATTGGAAACAAAATATTCCCACCATTTAGTTTAAATCTCGTACCATCGAGAAGTCAAATTTCAGTTTATTACAAGGCTGATAAGTATGATAACCAATCTGTTGATAATCACCACCAGAAGGCTGAACTGACCAATTCTCGATCATTTCATTTTTAAAACACGTTATGAACAGATTGAAAGCTTCCATTTTTAAAGTTCATTGAAATAGTCGCCTGGCCATTTATTCTGCATCGTCATTGCAAAGTTTTAGTAAAAGTTAAAATTTATTGGCTTTATTTTTGAGCGAACGGGATGCGCGATAAACTTACCTCCACGTGGTGCACCCTGGGCAACGTATACTTATACGGCAAAAAAGTCTATAAACCGACAGTTGACTTCTGACTTCAAACTACCATCACCCCACTGTATGTCATATTCGACTACTTCCACAACACTCACATCACCTTTTTTCAACCTTTGTTTCTGTCTTTTTTACATCTTTGAAACACTCTTCTGTTCCCCCCCCCCTCCCCTCTACTTTGTTTTACTTGGATGTTCCTTCCCATCTGTGAAGCCTGAAGTCCACTAAAGGGCTAATGATAACTATCAAAACGCCTGCCAATCGAAATAAATAACTGAACAAATTTTTGAGCAAACCTACCTAAATTCATTAAACCGATTATTTCAATTCACCATAGTGTTTTTAAATACGTAAAATGCCCTCAGAGGAAGTGGCAATTCATTTGAGAAAAGAAGACAAAAATTTATTGCGGTAAATATTTACACATCAAATGAAGATGGGACATACAAAGTGTGTGGCTTGTGTAGAACATGCAGCTATTACTATTGGAAATTAGCAAATCCTTACGATACGGTGCAATCAAGTCGAATAAAGTCTGCGCGTGCTCTCCTTTGACGTGAACTATTTCGATGGCGAACTTTAAAACTACTCCGAAAGAAATTTCCCCTTCTAGACTGAAGGTCGTATCCAGGACTTTCAGCCTTCTTTTCTACTTGAGATGAGGTTTCTAGTACGGCTGCACTACCCCTTCTCTTTTCCACCCAGGGTGAGAAGCTGATGGTATGAGTTAGTTCATTTTGAGACCAAAGGGACTTGAATATATCCAATACATATTCATCCGCTTGTGCGCTCGTATAGACAAATTGTGATGGTTTTAGTCCACTTTTAAGAAGCCATTCCATTATCACTCCTTCGCTGATCTTCGACATTGACATTGGAAGATCAGATTTGTTGCAGACAACTACTAGTGGAGATGGGGCAGCTACTAGAGTCGATGAATCATAAGCATTAGGTTCTGAAGCAAGAGGTGCATAATCTTCACGTTCGGCCTTTATCTGATCTAAATAACGACCTGCTGCTATCAGAGATTCCATATTATCATGAGCAAACACTATTACAAACGCATCAGCTTTGGCAACACATAATCTTATCATAGCAGGAAAATCATAACTTCCAGACGTGTCCATGAATTCCACATTAGCTTGGCATCCACGAACCAGGAACTTGGAGAAGTAGACATCATCAACGGTAGGAATGTACTTGGGTTCAAAGCTGCCATTGAGAAAGCGACGTATAATACTGGTCTTCCCAACTTTCGCTGCACCAAGAAACACGACCCGACATACCGATTTGGAACCGTTTTCTTTCGCGTCTGAGGTGCCAACTACAGATGCCTCATCTCCCGGCAAAATCTTTTGTGGATCGGATTGGGTCTCAATTTTGGTATTTCTCAGTTTTCTAAAACGCCTAAAGACATTAGTTGTTTTGAAGTGTAACCACAGACACTTGACATCAAACTATTGTGGAGTGCCCAATCCTTTCAGGACAGGTAAAAAATCTTTCGCGGTGATTAATATTAAATCGGAGTCAATTTAACTTTCGTTCATGTTTTATAACCTACCACAGAATCAGGGGAAAAAGTACTTCCCAGTCTACACATTCGGTGTTTTCTCAATTTTTAATTTCGGGAGCGAGTTTGTGCTAGAAGTCTAATTAGACTTTTATGAAAATTAGAAAGGTTTAGCGAAGTGCTTACTTGGGGGATATCCGCCACGCTATCCACTGAAGATTTATTACTCCTTCCGGTCAAGATTCAGGTGTAAAAGGATATATGTTAGCGTTGTTTTAACTTTCATCATCCAATCTTATGACATTAATATATATATATATATATATATATATATATATATATATATATTCTCTCAACTTTAGTATTGAATTTTACTGCCAATCCTAATTAAAAGCTAAAATTCGATTTTTAGAAACATCAGGTCAAATTTAACTTAAAATGATTAAGAGTATAATGAAAAATGTCATAAAATTTCGAATTTATTAAAATACTTCATTTTGTTTTGTTTTGACAAATCTAAGGTTAACGAAGAAGGGTTTTCAAAAATATTTTGCGCGAACAAACCCCTTCATTGCATCTTTATATGAATTAAATTTAAAATTATAAATTGAAATGACTCAAGACTTAGAAGAAATATTAGAGACCCAGACAAATCAGTTTAGGGAAAGTCTATTTCAATGACTGGTTTAAGTTAAGTTATCATGACTAACTTGAAAGTGTGAACGAAATGTTTTTAGATTTCTCAAATGTACTTTTAACATTAATTTCGATTTTCCAAGGTATTTCGCACGTTTTCGTCAATATTAACCTGTTTTTACTTTTAATTCAAGCCCTGGTTATTAGTTGACCAATAGAAATGACGCATTGAATAGGAATATAACATAAATTATGAAACCGACCACTATTGTTTTAGAGCTTATTATCTAAATTAAAGTACTGTACCTCACCAGCATAATAAAAGTTTATTCGTTAATAAAATTCTAAATGTATTGGGACGAAATTGTTAAGCCAATCTATCATTTACATTTTTATACTTTAGCAGGCGAAAAACTTGCTAAAAACTTAATTAATACATAAATTAGAACTTTTGGAAAAATTTAGGGGGAAAATGTGTTATCCCCCTCAACATATATAGGCGATTAAACCTTGTTTTAATTGACAGCAAGGAGAAAATAGCGAGCTTTCGAATTTTCTAGCCATTAGATCGATTTAAATACGATATCAAACGAAAAACATATAGAGAGATCAGTTAAAATTCATTTGAAAACAATATGTATAGCGCTAATTATTGCAACAATCAAATGATTGTCAGTCAAAACTATATGATTTATTTTTGAAAACATTCGAGAAAAAAAACATGCGCAAATTCGATCAAAGTGAGACTTTTAAGTAGGTTTGAATGCCAATAAAAAATACAAATGGAAGCTCAATTTATTCTTCCACCACTAAAATACTTCGATTAGGAGAGAAAATTCGACAGATCAGTCAGGAAAATAGGAGAGGTTTGATGTGAAAACTCTGCTGAAATAGGTCACCTAGGGATTACAAGATATGCGCTAGATATCTTCCCACTTCTAAAACTATTAGAAGAGTATGCTTTATTTAAAAAACAGGAACAAAGACCTAATTCAATCGAGAGGCCAATTATCTCAGAGCCATTTCTGAGGAATAGAACATTTGAATTGGACAAAAACACTACTCCTCACTACACTATAAATTACATTGAAAGAGCTGTGCTCAAAATCTTCAGTAAATAAAATATGCAAAAATGTTTCATAAAGTCCCCCCATCCTCAAGCATTTGCCAAAGGCAAAAATAAATTCATAACGCGGTGATATGCTAGGTCACAAATCCTTAAAGTGCAGAAAAAACGCAAGATTCTTCTTAAATAAAATTATGATAATCTGCTCCGAGATAATGAATTCTCAAACGTAGTCTCTACGTCCCACGTAATACTCATGAATATTGCCCCATGTAGCCAAACGAGTTGTTTATCCTGGCGTGTTTTGATCGATCTTACGTCGATAAAATGCAGAAAACTTGTATCCTTAAATATTGCTTTTGATTGATTAATAGAGATTTGATTTGGCTTCATCCTGTCTTAACCTTCCATCTTTAAGCTGAGCCAATCATAGTTGAGCGACATCTAGGGAACTTTCTAGAACCAAGGCAATCCAGAAACGCCAAAACTATCAAAATTTGTCAACTGGGCCGTTCCAAAAGCCTTCGACCTATTGCGAGCGCAAACATTGATACCACAAAATTTCTAGGACTCAAATTCAAATTCTTAAATTTATAATTTAGTGACAGAGTTATTTGCAACTAAATCAAACAAGATAAATTAAAGTCATCGTGAATAGCAGTTAAATGAAAGTATGCATAAATAGAGGCTAAACAAAACGAGAATGCATGCAGACTCACAGATATTAGTTAAATGCACCCAGATGCCTTTACGCCGAATTAGAGCATGGCTAAAACTATTTGTATAGAGAGGATTCCACCAATCAAAGACAAGCTCAAAAGGCATTAGCCAATCCCATTCCTGCTTCAAGGGGTCAGTCAATAGGAAACGTCTCCTCAATTTAAACACTGCTTTAGGGAATAACATGCAACGGGGATTCACATTGTACAAGCTGCCATTCCAATCAATAGTTAATTAACCACAATGAGAACCCCCCCCCCCCCGAACATCTAATCTATTATTTTTTCCTTTAAGAAACACCATTTGGGGGGTAAACATAGGCCATTCATTGAAACGGAGAGTTGTCCTAAGAATTTCTTTATATAACAATATAAGGTAGATATAATTCAAATTGTCAATCTTTTGTGTACATAACAAAGAGGTTAAATTAGCTTTGATTATTTTTCCCTCCAATCGAAGTTAAAAGTCGTAAAACAATGAATCTGTAAATAAACACAAAACTTTAATACAAAAAACATCTCGGTACTGTCATTCATCAATATCACTTTCCATCACCTCGTCTTCCTCCTCAACCTCCATTTCTTTCGATTCTTCATCCGTGGTCTCCTCAACCAACTCGGATTCAATTTGCGAATCGGAAGCTGAACGACCATCAATGGAGAACCCATCTTCATTTAGTGCCATTTGCGAAGATGGGACAGATTCCACTGAATTTCTAGCCGAAATAACTGCATCGTCGATATTTGTGTCGTATATCTCTTGACCATCCAAATCGCGATTTTTGAGATTTCCCAACCAGAAAGCATCCGCACAATGATTTTGAGAGAGAAGAAGCTGAAAGAATTTAAAGATTTCTAAGGTTGTATTCAAATATGCGTCTAATTTCTTAATCGATTTCATTTATTTCTAAAGTGACTGCTCCATTGCTCCGAGATCCGCATGCTCATAAGAGTCGAGCATAATCACACTAAAAACTTGGAAATTCAACAGCGAACCAACTACCCTCCATTTCGTGCGTTTTTCAGTTGGATCAATAAGCCTTACTCTAAATAACTGCCTTTTCGCCGAAATTTGTTGCATGGCTGAGATCGCACCTGTGGTAGTCTGAAGTATGCTTACCTGGGGGATGTTTTCGAAATAAATGCCCACATTTCCGAACCTATTAGAAAATTTCCTTCGTCGGTCGGTCATATCCTCCAATCTAATTACCGCCCACCTCCCACTCCCCACTTCTTTTCGTTCACACAAGTGTGCCGTGGTGCCAAAAGAATTCAACCTCCACAACGTCATAATTACATAGTTAAATTTTTCGTGTAATTTATAGTTCATAATTGGGGTGTGCGATGGACTCACCTCCACGTGGTGCACCCTGGGCAAAGTATATTCATACGGCAAAAAAGTCTATTGACCGGCAGTTGACTTCTGACTTCAAACTGCCATCACCCCATTGCATGTCATATTCGACCCCTTCCACAGTACTCATCTTACCTGTTCTCTGCCTTTGTGTCTGCCTCTTTTACATCTTTGAAACACTCTTCTGTCCCCCCCCTTGCGAATTTTTTTCAACTTTAATATTCCTTCCCCTCTGTGAAGCCTGAAGTCAACTAAAGGGCTAATGATAACTACCAAAACGCCTGCTATTTGATATAAAATAATATTTTATAATTAAAAAAAACATTCGCTTACAGGTAATCTACTCTGGGTTCACAAAAAATAGTTCCACCTCTTAGCTCCTATAGAAACGCGTTTCCATTTAAGGCGATTAACACAATTCGAGAGATCAGTATATTAATACCTTTCAGATGAGAGAAAGCACCTTATACGCATACACCAATCAAACCTCAATTTATTGTCACGACAAGTCATATTTTAGGACATGGCTCAATTTCTCTCCTCACGCCATTAACGAATTAGGGTAACTTAGCAATTCGACAAAATTCAAATTTTAATAAATGAGAGAAAATATATTAAAATGGAGCAAATGGAATGATTGAACTAAGATCAACTAGGCAAATCCATCTTATAATCAGTTAGTTAATACCCTAGATAAATCACTGGGAATAGTGCTTTGGTATAACCCATTCCTATCTAACTGAACAGTAAAAATATATATTAGTGAACCATTGGTTGAGGGAACTTATACTAAAAACAAAGTTTAGCTGCAAATTCTAATTCGCAGCTGATTTTAATCAGTTTTCCACTTTTCATTCATTCAACGTATAAATTAATTCTCAGTCTGCAATCAATTTATAACCCTGGATTCACGACTGTCGTATTTTCTGACAACGTTAAGTAACATGGATTTACCACGAGTTATCCCATAATCTTTACAAATCTAATACAATTCAAACCTAATCGCGTATAAAATGGGAGTAAAAAGTGGAGAAGGAACTTGCCTTGACATTGTAGACAAATGCCTCGAGACATTTTCGTGTTTGAGGGATGAGTGGAGTCAGACGACCCTCCTGTCTCGCTTTGGCGTGGACACAAGTGCGATGAAGAAAACGCGTAACGTGCTGAACATTTCGAAGGAACTTCAACACCGCTGAGCCATGAGTTCTGCAAGGAAAGGCGTGAAGATTTGTTAAATAAATGAGAAAAGCGAAATGGGCGGACGATCTTACAATGGAAGAGATAGATAAGTGGATAAGAAAAAGTAGGGCAGCGGTCAAATTGATACTTGAAAAAATTCAAGTCAGTGGAGTTAATATTTTGGCAGTAGTGTGAAAGTTCCTCTCTATTATTCGTTTACCTCGAGTGAAAACAACCATCCGAATTCGTGTAAAATTAAGAAAATAGACCCACACCAAAGCAATAGGCTACAAAACGTGCCAAAATGCAAAGAGGAGTGGCACACATTCGCAACATTTAAGTAGGCATAGACGAGTGGTAGTTCGTGTTTAAAAACGAATAATATGCATGAAGTCGCTCCAATCCAACGAGTAGATTCTTTTGCCGATTTGAAATGTTTACCACCCACCTTCCCAATTTGCAGCCCACATTAAAATTAAGCACGAATGTTACGTTAACTAGCGATTGTTTCGACATGATTTTAAGAGACCGACTTATTGTAAAATTGGATGGAGAAACACCCTCATACATACGTAGGTAGGAGAAGGCGCGTGACGGGATACGGAAACACACAAATAAATAGTTACTTCAAATAGTCTAGGCTTTGGCTCATTTCAACTAGCTTCACGTTTTTTGTCTAGAAGAATTCCCATGAATTGTTAATTCAACGTATTTAGCATGATATCAGCACTACCTATTTCTCGGTTCCTTTCACCACTTCAATTTTACTTGCATCAACGGAGGAACTTTTCGGAGTCGTGGGGGGGGGGGGGGGGGTGGAGAGGGGAGAATATCATTTCCTTCACTCAGCTAAGTGCACGGAGAGTGCTTATAGATGGAAATCCTTTCGTGTTTATGCGATTATTCGCATTAGGAGAGTGTAAAAAAGCAACATAGTGAATTGAAAAGGTACAAAAATAGGCAGGGCATTTAGGGACGGCCAATAGGGATCACTGACATAACCGCCCAATCAGAGAAAAACTCCACGAGAGTAAAAGCACAAACGCGCCGCTGAATAAACAAGCAAATGCAATTGCATCCAGGGGAGTATTCAAAGGTAAGAATAGGTAAAATGCTTTGAAGATTTAGAAAACCACGTGACTGAAGGAAATCTAAACTGAAGCTAATCGTTATCTTATAGTTAATAGTGAACTAGATTAATGGGATTAATAAATCCGATTGTAGAGAGAACACGTCATAGCTAGATAGCATAGTACAATGTTGAGCAATCTGATAGACAAACATGATATACAAGAAGACAAGAGCATCGGCAGTCGATTCTGGTTCTCCCTTTGTCCAAAGATTCATGACTGTAAGAAGACATAAAGCAACCAAGGGAGCATTGGCCATTTAGGTAACTCTGTTGATGTCGCCAACGCAAAGTCATTCAAGAAAGTGCGAGTCAAATCATAACAATGGAGCTTCAATAGATATTCGGCCTTCCATTAGAAAATAAAATGACAAAATGTTTGGGGTTATTGAATAAAATTTGATTCTTGAAATACTGACTTTTCGATCCCTCGTTGCATATCTCACTCCGGTAATTTGCTACCAAGAGTAATCAGATGCTGCTAACCCAAGGATACAAATTGCAAGGATAATAAACAAACTAGACAATCAACCACTGACTAGTGCATTATAGTTGTAGTGATTTGGCCCCCAGAAAATACTAAGTTCTACTTCATTATGCAAGTCCAATTGCAGTTTAATTATAGATATATAATTATTTTAGTCATTTCATTAAGTCATTCTTGCAATACAGCATCATGAGAGTGTCAATATAAGTAGGAATTGTGATGACTGCAAGATAAGGTTCAAATTAAAGACAAACCATTCCACTCAAAATAATAGCTTTCGTAAAACATTGCCATTTAAATGCAGATTTAACAATTGTAATTGCTAAAAAAACGACTAATGAAAATAAATGCGAACATCAAACTCCATTAAATTAGAAGCTGGAAAAATTCCCACCAAATCAATTTCCATGAAAAGTTAATTAAGGCACCATTCAACAAGGAGGGAAAAAGTGGCGTAATCAAATTTAAAACGTGAGAGGCCTGATTTAGCTACAGACTAACAAAAGGGATCATTTTTTCCGCAACAGATAAAAAGACATTAATTATTTACTCCCCCCCCCACACCAAAAAAACATAATAAGAACACCGGAAGACCTATAATGACCAGGCAACTTTAATTCAATGATATAAGTACATTAATTCAACAACTATTTTAATGTGGAGTTATTATGAAGACGTTTCGAATTTCTATTTAGCTACACCTTAAATGAAAAGAAGTTGGAATGGAAACAGAGAGTGCGCGTTTCGAACTTTAATTTAAAAGAACAAAAGAAAAAACAGTTGCATATAGAGGTGGCGATGTCTATTCAAACCTAAAGTAATGAAGATATGCTTCACTTACTCGGAAAATTCAATCAGACGGGATTATAAACGTAGTCAGACACATTTATTGAGTACGAATGAGAAATGCATTTTGACATTTCCGTCAAAGTCACATTGCTAAAGGCAGAATTAGCAGCGCAAATGCTCGCATTTCTGCGTATGACAAATAAGACACATTTGCGGAAATTCAATTTAGCGAAGGCATAACCACAAAAAGCCAAAAAAATCTCATGAAAAGAACAAGTTGGTGAAATTAGTGAATCACCTCTCTCAATTTCAATAAAGTCAAACAAGCCAGTTAAAATTGTTACTGATTCGCAAAGCAAATTTATAATAACGTATAAGTGGTTTATAGTGTGCTTGGAATAAATTTTAAATACTCATCAGGAAAAGACGAAATGTTATGAATTGAAAAGAAATTCATCAGACAATGAAAGTACACCATTATGAGAGGGGCTTTACGCAAAACAAACGGCATTAGCCTCAACCAGACAAAGATTTGTTTACTTCTCTCTTCCATATGGCAGGGAGCTGAGTTCCGATTCCTCCATACATATGGCGGATTATTTGTTACTCTCGTGTGTTACCAATGGTATTTAAATTCAACCTATATATATATATATATATATATATATATTGATCTCGTGGTTTTATAATTCCTCCTATAAAAACATTTGCTTTATTGGAACTAAAATACTCGTTCAAGCGGTTTACGACTTCAACCATATTTCAATATTTTTTCATATAATTATGATGCCTCGATACGAAATTCACCAAAGCAGTAATCCTTTCGGACTCACAGTCAGCAATAAACTCAATTGGAAGCAGAGAGTCAAACAAAACAGCTGAGATATAAGAATGTAAAAAACCCTGAGAGAAAAAAACAAAACAGTGATCCTACAATGGATTCCTGGTCACTGTGGCATTAAAGGCAATGAGTTTGCTGACACACTTGCTAAGAAAGGGACAACGATTTTGCAAGGCATAGAGCGGCCAATGTATTAATCAGGAGAGAATTCAAGACCTCAAGGTGCAACGAACCTAAAGCTCGGAAAAAGGAGATACAGTGGACAGCAGCACTCTCTGACATAGCTGACTGAGTTTAGACTAAGCACCGGACACGATTGCCTGACAAAACACCATCACAGATAAGGAGTATGCACTTAACCAAAATGTCCCCCCCCCTAAGTAACCTACAGGAGGAAATGGAGAAGACCCACCTGATTCGGTGTCCAGCCCTAAAGACAACGACGGAAAGCCAGAGATACTGGGAAGCAAGAAGACAGCTAATGAGCTGCTATTAATTAACTGCTATATATGTACCCCCCCCCCCTCTACCCATGGGGAAAGCTGAAGTCAAAGTTTAAGGGCTAATGATAAATATCATAATGCATGCCATTTTAAAATAAAAAAATATTTTTCCATATAGAGTATTTTCTTGGGGGAAGGAGGGGGGGGGGGGGCATGAAAATACGGTGAAGGATGGGACGAGGTTTGGTGACTATCGAAGATGAGGCCTAAGCTCAAAGTTTAATTCTTGTTTTTATAGGGGAGGTCAATATTATTGTATGGGGTAGGAGGAGAGGAGAGGGCGTACATTGTCATATTAAAGGTTTAGCTCTTTTTACTTTAAATAAACTTACACGTCTGCTTTCCAAATTCTAGCTCAGCCTTCCACGTAGTTGACATCAATAAATTTCGCCTAATAAAGCTTCATGCAACTATAGCCAAGCTATTAAGGCTGTTTCCGAAGAGCCAACTCTGGCAAGGCTTAGGATATGGAACAGGTGTTTGGTGTGGAGACGCCAAAAACGTCGTAGACGACTCACAACACTCCCCCCCCCTCCCCCCAAAAAATCAATTTCGTGTAAAAATAATAAAATTCATCGTTGTGATTTGATTTTGATGCACAATTTAAATTCCTAATGGCTGATTTAAATATCCTAAACTAGAATTCACACTGATGGGAATGTGAGCTCTAAACCATAGATTTTAGTACTAGCTTTAGAAGGTCTTGCAGACGTTCACACCTTGGTAAAGGGAAGCTATTTGTCTGCTCAGACATATGTACCCTTAGCATTAGAGCCCATAAATAATGTTAAGGAATTTGTCTACTTAGGAAAATATCTGCAGCAATTTTTTTCCCAACTTCAACGGGTTTGGATACATCTGAACTCAAATATCTGCTTGCAAAATAAACGAGATCTTATTGACAACCCTAATAAATTATTCTCCAGTTATTGTGAGCATTTTTTCAATCACGCAACTGTGGCTGAATAGTAAATAATTCATGCAATGACTTGGGACCATAGAAATCATAAATGCACAAAATTACAGGTTTATGAATTTGTTATGGTCTGTTTAGTGATAAAAATAGCTGAAACTATCCTTTGTTAACAGTTCTTACAACAATTAATAGGTGAAAAAGTGGTTTGGAAAAGTACAAGCAATTATTATTCTAAGTCGAAATAAGAGCATAAACTAACCACAGCTGTTTATACATTCAAATATTAAGATTAATAAAAAATTAATTTCCCTATGAATCTTGGATTTGCGTGATTTTCCGATTATATAAATTTTTTATATTATGACTGAAATTGTTAAGGGATTTACCTCAACGTGGTGCACACTGGTCAGCGTGTACTCATACGGCAAAAAGTCTATAAACCGGTAGTTGACTTCTGACTTCAAACTACCATGACTCGACTGTATGTCATATTCCACCACTTCCACAGTACTCACCTCCCCTTACCTTTTCTCTACCTTTATGTCTGTCTCTTTTACACCTGTGAATCACTCTTCTGTTGCCCCTCTCGACATTTTGTGACTTGGATGTTACTTCCCTCTGTGAAGCCTGAAGTCATTTAAAGGGCTAATGATAAATACATCATAAAGCCAGCCATTTGATAAAAAAGATTTATATAAAGGCTACATGAAAAGCTCCATCCACAACACAGTCACTTTCTATGCAAACGCATAAAGGCGTATTTATCGTTCTACCTTCTTTTAACTTTGAGTAGATAAGAGGCTGTTATAGGATTTGAGCTATTCCAACTCTTTTCAGTTAGAAGTCGAATACTGTGGTAATCGCAGTCAACAGCAGAAAGGTCAAATCACGTACTGCATGCGACATATAATTGGGCAGTATAGGAGCGGTCAATCAGAGGGCAGAACAGCCTTGAGATTATCGGGGCAATTATCTTCCAATCAAAACTACCACTCACCGGAAGAGAGCATTTAGAAAGGACATAGCTCCACGTAGTAGATTCTCTAGAAAAACTCTTCCAGCTCGCATTAAACAGGGCAGGAGATCCAAGAAGGCTCGACTGGGACTATCACCTTTCGCAGCTTCAATTATGCAAATTAGAACCTCCACAGAAGAACTCCAATGTACCAAAAGATCCTCGCAACGCGCACTACCTGAAACAGCCGTCTGCTTAGCTAATCTTCGAACGCAACTAGAAAAGAGAAAATGAGGCATCAGATTTTAAAAAAAAGTAAAAAATAGCACCTGTCTAAAGACAACTCAAATTGGAGATTAGAAAAATCTTACATTAAGGATTTCCTGAGTCAAATGAAAATTAAAACAATAAGAACTCAGTCTCTATTTGGAAAGAAAGGTTAGATGAGTCTTGAGATAAGATAAACATTCAGGCGGTTGTAGGACATAATTTTTACTCATCTGGACTAATATAAATTGATTAGGGATGATTAATCAATTATTGTTTCCTCATTTTATCACGTCACCCACTATCTACTGCTTCTCGAATGCCTATCCCTCCCCTTCTTCTCCCATAAAGCCTAGAATGGTTCAAAAGGCGAATAATTTCAGTTGATAAATTGGTAACCACACTGTACTCACTGCACTGTGAAGTGTTTGAATAAGTTACATTCCAGGAAGGCATAATAATGAACGCGTCTTAGAGTGGAGGTGAGGGGGGGGGTTGTTTCATATGACTGTACCAGACAACTAGACACAAGGAAAGCTTTTGGGATATACACTGTGTAGTAACTGAAAGTGAGAAAAAATTTTACCCAATCTGATGTACCACTACAGATCAAATAAGTAATACCTCAACCTTCAATAGCATATGACGAACTTTACAAACAGCGAAAATATAACCCCCTTTCATTTTCTTTTTAACTTTCTTACAACACGAAAAAGAGAATAAAAAGAGTGAGCTCAGAAAAATGTGCCACAAAATCATTCCTTTTGCGATTTTATGCGAACAGCATTGTAGGATCTCAAGCACTTCTTTGCTGAAGGCAGGAAAGAAGAATGAGTTTTGAAATAGCTAGAGTTGACCTCAAGAACAACTTCTACATTGTTTCACAATAAAGATGAAAATAAGGCGATGTGTGACAGGAGAAAGAGTGCATTCCAAAACGCATAATCTTAAAGGGTAGATTGTACGTTCAAATATTTTGATCTTAATTGGAAGTAGTAAGGCAGACTAAACCTCTTTTGCACGGCCTGCAAATTTAAGTTTCCATCAATTCGTTAACAATTTATTGCATACCAATATGCTAGGAAGATGTGACTATTCATGGAATCTTGGATTTGACCTCGACATTGAAGCAAAATCAAAGAATAACAACAAAACCGACAACACAGCACTTCCAAGTTCAATATAAATTAAAAATTCCTAACTTAAATACAAATATTTTTCACATTTTCAGATCCCTATTTTCATTTGCTTTCTCATGCATCGACTTGCTATAAACAAAAAAAACGTTTAAGAAGGATGTGTCTTGGCTAGGAAAGAATGGGAAAGTGATAAAGTCATCTTTACACAAGGCAATGAGTAGTTTGTTCACACTTAACACTGGTGACTTTTAAGTTCATAGACATACGGCAAGTTCGTTAAACCAACAAAAAATTAAAAAAAGGAGAGAGGAAGCAATACGACACAGAAAGAAAATTTGCGCATTAGCACATGATCAGACAATCAAAGTCCCCCCCCCCGTCTATTCTTTAACGGAGACAAAGAAAGTACAATCATTAACATGACACATATGTATGAGAATCTTATACAAAAAAAAACACATTCCCTAATCCTCTTTCCGACAAAATGACAGAACTTAGAGAGGTTTAGGTTCTTTTTTGACAAAAAATATGGATTCCATAAATCTAAATGCATTAAGCCGCTTTATATCAGTTCTAAAGATTAGTTAATGCACCTGTTCTAAGAGTGATTTAGGATCTTGAGGTTACAAGAAAAATACATGATCACGCTCACCTGCAAAACGCTTCAAGGACCTTCCTGGCATACATGCCAATGCTTTGAGTTGTGAGGCCCTTGTAGACAAGACGCGTCCTACCTTCTTCGTCATCGCTTTCCTCGTCTTCTTCCTCGACAATTGTCCCTGGCTCATCACTACCACTTTTCCTCAGAAGGTATCGAAGATGGCGTTTGGATAAGTTGATGAGCAACTCCAAGGTATCTGGCAGAGGATTCATTGAAGGACCGAAGAAAGGAGAGTGCAATTGAAAGGCCAGAAGGGTACCCAAACAGTCCTTGTGGGAGTTGCCTGTAGGAGAGGGGGGGGATGAAAGAAAGAAGTTTTCAATTTCATTTTTGCCCCAATTTCTTTACCAATGGTCCCCCAGTGCAGTTTAGGAACACCAATGCGTTTTAAAGAGGTGAAATACCAACCAAAAGCTCGAAATTGAATGAAAAAAAATCTCAAAGGTGAAAATAGTTCATAAAAGACTGACCATTTTCAGGACTACAAGATGGATAGCCAATCGACTAAAACATTCTTTTGCTTCCATTTAATTCATTGTTTCAACTAACTTGATGGTGCATTATTCTATTCACGCCCTTTACTCTGAGCCTAAAGACCAATGAGAGCAAATGTAAAATCTTGTTCGAAATACAGTCGTGTGGAGAGCAGTTAAAAACGTCAGAGAGCGCTAATCACGGCCAAGTGTCTAGTGGTCAAAATCCATGTATCAGAATTCAGAACAAATTATTACGTAACACCAATAGGAAACCTTCAGTGAGCAGAGAAGCCAATTAAACTGATCATACTTAGTTAAAGTAGATGGAGGTAGAAATCGAGACTCTTACCAGAGACGCTAAACAAAACACAAGGGAATGTAATAGAAACTGCTAAAACTTGCGGACAAGATCCGAACTCAGTGAGCATTAACTTCTTGAAGAAAACGAGTATTGAAATTGTGACACTTGAACAATAGATGGAATTCTGTAAGACTCGTCTAATCAAAGACTTCGATTCTACCATGCAAAGGTTTTTTAGTCACAACTAAAAGAACCATTTTTTACTTTAAGTGGAAGTCAATAAATACGCTTTACTATTATTGCATTAACGGTTATTATCAGTGTGCGTTAGAATATATTAAGGATATAAGGTAGACATGCGCAAAGGGAATTCGCATTTACAAATTTAGCGTATAAATTAATCGCCATAAATGTCTACACTACTAGATGGAATATAATAATAAAGGTACCTTTGCAAATATTCAGTAATCAGACACTCCCATACAAGCAGGAAACGCGATCACTTTCATGCGTTGCTCATTAGACATGAATTACCAGACGAAAGTTTCTGGAGTTAAAAAAAAAGCTCTCGCAAACCAGGAAATGCAAAAATTAAAGAATATATGGCGCATTTTGTACTGAATTAAGAGTTGTAAAAGAATTGGGGGGATGATATACGTTTGAACTCGCTTCAAAACATACATGATTAAGAAGTTGGCTCGGTGTTTTTAATGCAACCACGAAGACAAGCAAAGCCAAAATTAGCATGTGTTCAACCGGAAACCTGACAACAGCAAAGTAGTACCATGAAATAGAAAGGGGAATGAGTGGTAAAGACGCTATGACTAGTCAAAGTACCCTAGTCGTATTCCAAAGGAAAAAAGATGCTGTTGTGTATTGGCATAACCACCTGATAAAAGTTTAACTATAGTATTCTTCGACCAATTTTCAAATCTTGCATGGAAAATGCGCAAAAAATGTTTATTCCCTTTATTACTATTACTTATAACAAAACAGGGAAATTCTAGTTATTTGCACCAAAGAAAGCAACATTTTTTGGTGTGGGGGGGGGGAGGGGGTGACAAGAAGAGACCAAGTACGGGTACTTTGAGAATGCCGTGCTCACGGATTCCACATACAAGAGAAGAGTTTATTTCTCAATATTCAAGGCTATGTATCTGATTACTGTGCTTCTTCTTGTGCCAAATTATTACAGACGGATAAGACCACCATTTTTAAATTCTAAACATTGTAGCACTATTAACTCACAGGAAACATTGGAAGCACGCCAGTTGAAAGGCAAAAGTGCGGGGATTTGAACCTTTAATATCACCACCTGAAGCATAATTTGTAAGTAGGCCCCACCGTTAGCGCATAAGACCACGGCAATCATTAGAGGCCTCAAGAGAAGTGCATTACAATGATTAACATTTTATCTCATTCAGTTTGGGTGGCCTTCACATTCTAAAGTAAAATAAGTAAAGTACACAAAGCATTGAACTCTAGACTGCCTAACATATTTTCTCTCAAATAATAAAATTCAAAGTTATATTTGACGTACTTTGCGGCAACTAACTGCAGAAAGGAATATTCAAGATGAAATCCACCCCATAAAAAAACACTTTATCAACACACAACCAGCAGGGTTTAAAAGATACGGAATGACGACTTCATACGCTTTCCCAAAATTACTACTTTGACAGCTCCCCTGTGACAACACTTTACTTTTTTTGAATACAAGGCCTCAGGAATGGCTGAAACCCCTATCTGTCTAGCCTGACGGGCTTTTCATTAATTATCCGGTTTCCTTTAAAAATTCACCGACACCAATACCTCACGTACACGACTCCAGATACAGCAAGTCAATAATCTGCTCCCTAATCTCTCCCCTCTCCCTCTCTTACTTTCTAAATTCCCATCATGGCTCACGCGACCCCTTGTGATCCACCTTCGGAAACGGTTCATTGCTGTTAACTACGCTTCTAGTTCTTTACCCCCTACAGTTCGGTAAACGCAAACTAATTCTCGCAATCCAACGGAATAATTAATTAGCCAAACGAAAAGATCGGCAATTAAAATAAGTCTTTGATTCCAAAGATATTGGATTGTAAATAGCAAAAAAGGAGCAAGAGACCACCCTAGGGAAGAGGAGAGTTGCTTACCTTGCCAGACAGCTGTTGCCTCCCAGGCCATGTTCAGCAGAGCGTTCGTATAATTCACAAGGTCCTTGTGCTGAAGAAGATAGTAGATAAGCAAATTAGGAAATAGTGATTATTCATAAATAAGCAAACCAAACTAAATAAATCCCAGATCTAAGGCCATAGTTAATTTTAATTTGTAATTCACAATTAAGGAGATTAGGTTGGACCGATACTCATCCAATGCCAACGTTATTATATCCTTGTTAAAGCGGTTGAATACTTTAAATGACCCTTAATTCACCTTAATCCCACAAAGATCTAGATAAATACGTGTTTTCATTTCATTTTGAGCTTTTATCTACTTTGAGCATCGATCTATGTGTCTTCCTTTCATCTACTATCTCATTTGCACCGTCACACCACTTCTCCCCAGCAAAACTAGCCCATTGCAATACGAACTGTATTTTATCTAATTTGAAAGCCAACAATAACCCAGAGTAGTAATAGTTTAACTACTCTCCAAATTTAAGCTCAAGATTTCTAAGGCATTCGTACACTAAGGTGTGAATCGTCTTACTACCTGTAAAAAGTTCTAAAACAATGCATACAATGTAAATCAATAAAGCGAAGTGTGCGGCACAGCAACCTCAACAAACATCAGTTCATTGGCATGCAACATACACATTAGCCATTGGAATCCTCGTGAAGATGAATTCAACTCACCTCATAAATCGCTGACTTTTCTACAGGAATGCTGTTGTTGAGATAACGTGCGAGGGAGAGCACGAAACAGGAGTGCACGAAAGCACAAGGAGAATGCGGGAGACCGGAGGGTGAAAAATCAACTAGCCACTGGATAACGCGAAGAATATGATCAGCATCCGGTTCTGAAATGTTAAAATTGGTAACAAGTTGGAGCTAATGATAAATAGCATAAAGCCTTCCATTTGATATAAAAGTAATAAATTGGCAATAAGAAGCCTAACAGAAAATGATTTGACCACAAGTTCGCTTAATTACCTCATCCATTGGCAGTTAGGAACTAGAAGACAATTAGAAACATTTCCAAAAACATAGCAAAAGGCGGGGGAGTGGAGGGGGGATCCAACTCGCACAGGGAGGAGAGGATTTTCCATTTTAGAATACGCACATGCTCAGAAAGCATTGCTCGCTGAATGTGCGCTGACAAGTGCCGATATCTTCTCTCATGATGGTGCAAACAATCACGTTGACTACCATACACCGCAGACTTACAACATATTTAAGTCAAAGTAGATTGGAATAACCTCAACTTACTTTGACCTACTGCCTCATGTACAACTAACACTTTAATCAAATTCGCTTTATAAATTGCAGCTAAAGTACAGCTTTCAGCTCATAAACAACACACAAAAAGTTGAGCAATAATTTGGAATTAATAATTTAATAACTTGAATGGATAGAACCATTGATACCTCCAAAATTTCGGTTATAAATTCTAAAGAACAGATTTCAATGATCTATTGCAATAAAAGAATCGACTATCTATTTAATTAGCACTACTGACTGTGCCTCAAACACTGGTGACAAAGAATTGTCTCGTTGCATTGGCAATACGGTCACTGAATACATTCTATGACACCAGATGAGTATGTTGACATATTTTTTTTCCAAAGTCACGACTGTTCTATAAGAATGTGGTAAATATTACAATAAGCGCTACCTTCAGAACGAAATTTTTCGAGCAAAAGAATGTTGAAATACGCGAAAGGGAATTATAAAATCTAAACCAACCCCCCCCCCTTCTGATAGGAATGCTGATAGGTTAATTTCAAAGCTCGCGACTTCCTTAATTAAATGAAGTTCATCTCCCAAACTAGTCAGACGTTTGAAAGGAGGACTTATTCTAGATTTGGTCCCCGACATGCAGGTCTTTTGCCACCACTAGCGAGTTCGGCGTTAAAACGGCAACAGTTACAAATTTTTTACATACTTTCTTACTGACAAAAAGTCGCGATTTTTCCGAAACTATATTATTTAAAATTGAAAAGTTAAGACCGAAGGTTTATTTAAGTAACTGTGTCTACACTCCAAATTAACAAAATTAATGAAGCAGCGATTAAAAAGAGAAAGCGAATGAACGATCACAAAATTTTGACCAGAAAATTAAAATTGATTAATTAAATTAGCAGATGAGAGCGTGAAAACAATCCCCTAAAATACACTCGAAAATGATTACAACTCTCTGCTCAACCCACAATGGGCTTAAAGTTAACATTTTCGAAACTGACGATCAGTAGTTAATGTTTGTGGTGCTCAGAATTAGCCAAAAGATTGCATATAGAAGCTGATCGTGAGGTAGGTAGTTCATTTTAACTGCTAAAGAATTAAAAGATAAGCTGTGGTTGTTGACTTTAATCTTTATTTTAAAGAAAATAAATAAGTGGATAACCTAAATAAACAAGTAAAAAGTTTCTTGATTCAGCTTTGAAATTGTTCAATTGAAATTTACTTCCTCTGCGTTATTTAATTCCCCTCATGCATTGCAAAACTTGAATCAAGCATGCCAATCATTGGCTTGGAATTTAGATTTAGAGATCATAGCAAAATCGACTTGCCTACAATTTTGTGAAGATGCTTTCGCAAAGGTCACAACAAATAACAATTTGTATCATATATAATACAAAAAGACATGACGCGACGAATACAGAAGATGTCATATTGACTCCTAATATTGGCTAAACATGGAATTACGATAAAGGAATAACAGGCACTCAACTCTTCGATCGATACCAAACGAATTCTTCCTAGGACAAAATCCTCTAACTTGTTCCCATCTCACTGGACATTTTAGAAATGATATATATATATATATATATATATATATATATTGAAAATAAAATGTACATAAAAATGACAACACAAAACACAGTTCACGGGCTTCATATACTCGTCATCTTTAACAACATACCCCATGTAACTATATAACAAATCACATATTACAGACTACTCACTTTTGTCTTCCCTCTCTGACTGGCTATTCTTCATGGCGATACCAAGAACTTCTTCCTCTAGCATGCACACTGAAGGAAATTCCTTCACCTCATTTGAGAGACACGCGTGTCTATCCGGGTCGTCTAAACAGTTGGCAAGACACCGAAGACGAGAAAGGCAGCCAATATCCAATTGGGGAGATGATGTTTTAGAAAGTAGAATATCTGGAGATCTGATGGAGCCAACCGACGGAAGAAAACCCATAGTCAGACCAACAAGACAATAGATTGAAGTGGAAAGACAATCGGCAAGCAAGCGAAGAGAGTTGTGGAGACCAAGATTGAAGGTCTCTGGAAGGGAGCTGTCGACTTCATCCTTCAATTTATCTGAAGTACAGGACATAATGGGCTACTCAACTTTACATTTTAAAGACGACAGCAAGATGACAGAGCGAAAATATGGCCGAAAATTCAGACGACTTGTAATTTATGAGCAGACAATAACCCAAAGGACACTTTCTTGGTATAACTAAACTTCTAGAATGAGAGAAAATGGTGTATAAATAATAAATTCTACTGCGTAGAAACAATAGGGGTTTTTAACCATAACTGCGAACATGATAGAGACGAAAGCCAATAGACAGGAAATTATTTATAAAATAATTTTGTGTGATAATCAGAAAGTTGGTTGGAGTAAGGAAATAAGCGATTAATTGATTAACACTTAAATACAGTAGGCCTGTAAAAAGAAAGTGGTCATACGACTGTCGTCATTCCGAATTCATTACAATTCAAAAACATTGACTTGTCACCGTCGTTTCTCCCCTATAAAAACAAAATAATATTTGCAAATTATAGCTCATTCGAACTGCTGACTTGGTGAATAAAACAACACGAATGGCGCCAAAACCAATTTTTTGAAATCTGTAAATGCGAACGTATGACTACTTTTATCAACGGGAGAATCTGAACCAGTTTGTCAACTTTTGCTTCTGAGACACCAACACCTTTGTATCTGAGAGCGTAATGCCCCCCCCCCTCCCCAAGGCTTACTCCATGTAAACCTTGTGAAAAGAGGAACACCAATTCCAACTTGATTGAGGAGAAATCATTAAGATTAGGACTAAAAACTGAAAACTTTGGGATTAACTTCCAATTAAACAGTAAGTATAAGGTTTTGACAGCGCCACTCACTTAGTTAGAATTGTGCGTTTTGCACAATAATTTTATTGAATAATATAACGAAATTAAGAAAATTAAGCCTTCTGGTTAATAATTGTTCAACCCTAAGGGGTTCAGGACTATAAGCCCGGTATTAAAAATCGTTACAAAGTGAGCTTGTTGTTAGGCGTTATTTCCCAACTACTGATATACCCATTACAATGAAGTAAGTAACACCACTTACCCCACTTAAAGTCTCGTAAAAAGCAGATGTTATTTGATAAAAGCGTACCAAAGAATACAATTAAGAGAATAAAAGTGGAAGAATAACGCTACCGAAATATTAAAATTTGTCATATTATCGATGGAACACAGCAAATGGCAGACTAAGTTGACAAAAAAACAGTTGATTCTACGCTTTAACCATGGAACTCGATAAGCTTACGACGCTGTTAACAAGAATGGATTCTCTTAGGGCTCAAATTTCCTAACTCGATCAAATTAATCATTGCCTGATTACTTTGCCAAGAGGAGATCCTCCCCGCCTTATTTCAACCTTTTCATCAAACTGGTAAACACCAATTCACCTACCAAGGTTACATTTCACAAATAACTGTACACACCACATTTGAAAGCAGAGAAATATATTCGGTCTTCTGAAATTTGACAAAGTGCAGCTAGACTGTGAAAGTTCCAATACGAAAAGCACAAACCAGCACTCTGTAAAACCGATACGATTCACTTGCTTAGAGAAAAATTAGAACATAGCCGTAATTAGGCATTTAAAGTACCTAAGTCGAAAGAAAGGATTATTCAGCTATCTCATTCTAAAAGTAGATTCAGTAAGGATAAAAAATAGAATGCAGGTAAAACGTTTCGTTACATTTTAAGAAATTTTGCTTTACCACAGCTTACGGGCACAAGTACAAAACCAACAGTGTGATTACGTTGCGCAGTGCGCTGGTCTTGGATGCGTCAATATGCATGTACTTACCGATTGTGGTACGTTACCGACTTATTCCACTTCAACCCCCCCCCCTCCCCACCACAATGTTCTAGAAGACTGTTGTCTCATCTCGGGAGAACGAAATCTGAACTTTCGAGCCGACTGAATGGATCTGTATAATTACTTTTAAATCAAACGACTTAATTCGACCTTTCAAAATAAATTGCTCATTAGAGTGCAGAAAAACTAGATCTGTGAGTTTTAGAAAAGCGATTTATTGTTTACACCTACGTATTTTACTAACTTAACTTTCAATATCAAAAAGTTCATATTCACCGGAAATATTTTGTAATGATTAGGCTGTCTCACTGCCTTTCAGCATTGATTAAAATGAGAAGGGAAGTAAAGGGTGTGTGTGTGTGTGTGTGTCTTGCACCTTGATTGTAAAATCACGTGCAATCACTTAAAAATCCCTAGAACTGACTTACTTTAGCTAATTACCAACTTCATCACAGAGAAGTATTCCCCAGAAGAGAACCAAAGTCACTCTGGCAAGGAATACGCCACGTGTAGGCGGCTCCTCAAAACTCAACTCTCAACCACAACGCAAGATCGTCCATTTCAGTTAGGGTGCCCGGGGCTTAGAGAGCTCTATTAATTCAAATGCCCTACTACACTTACATCACAGCCGTAAGGTGCAGGAAACCAAATCAGATCACTTTTGCCTTCGCGTTCACCGGAGAAAAAACACAATTGAAGAAAGTATTTTTGACATCTCTCAATTAAACAAGATCACCAATAAGAGTGGAAATATCGATGATAAACATTTGTTTTAATCAATGGGATGAAAAAAAAGAAATTGCAACCTTAGAACTCAATGCGTCAAATTTGTAAATGCCAGACAACAGAATTCGAAAAAAAACAAAGTAAAACTCCTCTTCGACATTCAGAGATTCCCTCCACTATATCAGCTGTTAAGCTTTCCCTCTCGCCAACTCTTATTGCTTTCCACAAAAAAATTGTAGATTTGAATATATTACGTCCGGCAGTGATAGTAAAAACCAAACTCATTAATTAAAACTAGAAAAAATTCTTTGTGATAGCCATGTTCGGAATACTGGCATATTTGTGAAAAGTGTATATCAATATAAACACAGCCACAACAATGAAAAAGTTAACAAACTTAAAAAATCGATCGGTTTTGACCATTTAGACTGATACCATAGGAGCAGGGTTGCTTTACCGGAAAATCAAAAACGTTTCAGACAAGATCATAATAATAAACATGAATTTATTTTCAATAAAAATAAGTGAGAATAAAATTACATGAAAGAAAACAGATAAAGTTAGGATATATGTCAGTTTACCTTTGAAATGACAAGTCAGTTTGGTAATAATCTTCGCCAGACATGGAACAATAGCCAGAAGGTAGGACTGCCTGAGTTGGGAAGACATTGAGTCGAATCTTTCAAATGAATACCAACCAGCAGACGACTTCAAGCTAGAAAAGATAGAACTCTCATTAGAGCCAAGTAATTCTAGATACTTCCCACATGGCAGATTGGCATTGGCATAATGACCAGTGTTTGGGGTTTGCGAAGTCAGGGCGCATGGATTTGATACTATTTTGGTTCAGTTAAGTTAAGAACGAAATAGGAGAATGCACTTTTCGCACTGTAAAGGCTGTAAAAAGGTACTACTTCTTCACTCAATGAAAGAATCATAGCACAAATTCCATCGAGTTTGGAGAACATCTCACTCAGAAATGGGAAAAAAATGTGAGCCATATTCTTTGACAGAAACACTTATTCCTTAAGAAGATGTCCACATCTCACATCATATAACTTCAACTGACAAACAGCTATTCCACATTATTGAGAGAACTCCGCTTCGATTTAGCCCCCCCCCC